TGGAAATACTACACTCTGAAAATGAAAAAAAATTATTCTAACATAGAATAGAGAAGTCTCCTGTGTGCATGTTTGATGACCATACAACATAGCTACAAATTCTGTGATGCTTTTCTCATGAAAAGGTGAAGTCTATGTTGCCTCTCCTTGATTCTGGGTAACTGCTTGAATGAATAGCATACGACAGAAGTGATGCTATGTGACTTCCAAGATTAGGTAATAAGAGACCATGCAGCTTCCTCCTTGTCTACCATAGCACTTGCTTTTGGAGCCCCAAGCCCTCATCTGTACATCTAACTACCCTGACACTGACATGCTGAAGAGGTCACAGGTAGGTGCTCTCCTGACTGTCCCAGCTGGGCCCAAAATGCATGAAAAACAGACTTATGAGAAATGTATTAATCTTCGTAAGTTTAATCATAACTAATAACAATGAAAGGGTTTTTTTTTTCAGAGAAATCTCCTTTATAACAGCACAATGAACAAACAAAGCATAAAAATCTAAGAGGAACTGCTATGTTAGAGGAACAGCACAAGAAAACAATCTTTCAGTCATCCGTGTCCAGCTGTCAGTCATCTTAGAACCTCCAGCAAAACACCACTAAATCACTAAGAACAGAAGAATCACCTAGTCAAGGCTTGTCCAATTTCCAGATTCACACAGAGGAGTGTGAGATACAATAAAATGGCTATTGTTTAAAGCTACTAAGATTTTGGGTAGTTGGTGCACAATAACACTTATCTGGAATAGCATGTAGTAGTTCCCCATTATCTGTGGTTTTACTTTCAATGGTTTCAGTTATTCATAGCCAGCCAGGGTCTAAAAATATTTAGATATTCTGAGAGACAGAAAGACCACATTTAAATAACTTTTATTACAGTATAGTGTTATAATTGTTCTAGTTTATTATCTCTTATTGTTATCAATATCCTACTATGCTGAATTTGTAAGTTGAACTTTATCATGGGTACATAGATATTGAAAAAACATGTTACATATAGGGGTTGGTACTATCTGTGATTGTGGGCATCACTAGGGGGTCCTGGAACATATAAAGGTAGGCCACTGTGCTTCCCAAAACACTTCTGAAAACATGTCATTCACTGGGATACCCAGACTATAAGAAATAGAGCACACAGCATTAAGAATCATATATTTACATATATATATGTATAAGTGTGTGTGTGTGTGTGTGTATATATATATATATATATATATATATGTGTGTGTGTGTGTGTGTATATATATATATATATATATATATATGTATCCTTCTCTACTTTGAGTTTTAAAGATCAAAATGGTTTAATTGCTACTGTTTCTTTCAATACTGCAAATCATTTCAAAATATCATCAAAAGCAACCTCATTCTACTTTTTCCCTATAATTCCAGCCATCAACTAAACAGTGAGTGGGTGTTAGAAAGTTTTCCATCCCGCTCCTGTCAAGTCTTCTCCAGACAATCCCAGGAAAGATGTTTTTCCTTTTTGTTTTGTTTTAATGAATAGATTTTAAAAGTAGGAGAAAAATAGGAATTAAATAAATGGGGACAAGGATTGAGGCAGAGGGTGTTTTCGCATGGTGATAGTGGGTGATTTGGCTTTAAGATGGGAAACTTGATCATCATGCAAGGAGCAGAAATGTGTAGAGAGCACTTTCTCCCCAATAAAAATACATTAATTAGCTCCTAGAGGGAAGAGCACAAGGATATAAATTCTGTGTGTTCTGGAGCATGTCACCTACAATGTGGCTGATTAATAAAGCTCTGAGACAGGATGAAACAAAACTGCAGCTCTTCTTAGAAAACTGGGTAGCAGATTCACTACCATGGTTTTCTATTTGCACAACCATTCTCCCCCAAACTGAGAACCTCCAGGCCCCTTCCTATTTTTCCCATCAGTAATCACTTAAATCTTGAACATTTAACTCTCAAAGCCCAACTCAGACTGAACTTTGGCTCCCTGTGTGTGTGTTGGGGTGGGTGAGGGAGAACACCATGCACACAAGGTTGTCACAAATAATGAATTGCTCCTGGGAGCCTAGCTGGAGCCTCACAGCTGTGTGTGCAGATAAGCAGAGCAGTGTGGAGGCTAGGGATCACAGGGCTTTGTGCTACCTTCACTTTCTCATAGACGTTCGGATGATGGTGTCACCATCTGCAACCTGACCCTTCCTCACAGAGAGATGCTGACAGAGAGTGCGGTGGGGCTGTCAGACAGCTCTGACAGGGCTGGACTCGTGCCTTTATTACTGATTCCAATCCAGCTCTCAGGGACCAACATGCTCACTTTCCTGAACAGACTCTGACTCGTTAAACCCTTGGGTTGTATGTTTAGCTTTTATTTCGAAACTTCCCATTTCAGTTGTTGGAAATAAACTGCATGTGATTTTCTAGATCTTACATCTTAACTGCTTAGCAATTTAACATACAGTTGTAAATGATAATTTTTCTAAGGTCCACTGCCCTCAGGATTCGTGTTAAGACTATCTCATCAGCACATCAAACTGCAAACAGGAAGTTGTCTAGGATATGGGGGAAATTTTAGCACCATGTCACTCTTCTGTGTTAGATCCAATTTTCTCTCTGCACTTCAACAATGATGACTGTAACTAAAATCTAAACATTCACTGTTAAATTCTGTGTCCATTTTCCCTTTTAGTTAAAACTATATATATATCTCCCTACTTTAAAGGATAAATTCCCTTTTTAATTGAATTATACCTAGTCCCTGGGCCATTTGAGTAAAATCTAGTCATGGTCAGTTTTCCTTTTCTTTTAAAGAGCGATTCACTTCGTTTCACGTTCTACCTGTCTTGGCAAACTCTAGCCTCCAGGGGGAGCCAAAGACTCCCCCATATTTCACCCAGCAAAGAAGAGCTCTGATTCTGTGAAGGCCAACTGGGAGCTGGAGACTTAAACACCAGGCCAAGTTTAGGGGTGGGGAAATGACCTCTTCATTTGGGTCATCTCTTTTCCATGTAGTGTTTTTTTTTGGCATCTCTCACCATGCCCCTTTCCTTCCCTTTTCCTTCTCCTGCCACTCTCAAGAACTGTGAGGGGTCTGAGATTTCACCTTATTTGAATTTTAGTAAGTTTGCCCACCAGGTTCACAGGTGCCAGAAGATTCTTGGCTCTGAGACTTTACCACTCACAGCAACAGCAGCAGCAAGGGTATTAGCACTCGTACTGACCAAGAGGGCATGAAGCAGGAGCCAAAGCCTGCCTCCAGCATCGGTGTTGGGCTAGATGAACAAGAGGACCCTCACGTATCAGGATAGGAGACTACGTCCACACTTGGAGACATATTCTTAGCTACTAACAAAGAGTGTGCGGGTCTAAGGTCCACAAATAATGCTTTCATGCAGCGTATGAGCTAAGCATTCTTTTTCACAGTTTTAAAAAAAACTACAGCAAAGAAGAAAATGTGACAGAGACCACAGTTGCCCTGAAAAGTTTGAAGTATTCACTATCTGGGCCTTCATAGACAAGCTTGGTGATTCCTGGGCTACAGCATCCTCTGTGCTTAAGGCCTGAGCGGGGAGTGAGAGTGCCATGGCAAAGAAGATTCAGGATGTCTCTTTCTTGCTTTGTCAGAGACACAAATTGCAGGCCTGATGGGAACAAGTACATTACGAGATTGTCTTGCTCTTTCATTATTCATCCCCACTCCAACATAAACACCAGAGCTAGGTGGATTTCATAAAATAGGGTTGAGCTGATGACTGGTTGTCAACATTTTTTTGGACCAATATCTTTCTTGTGTAGTTTGATTTCTAATAGCTGCCACCCAGCCCTCTAGAAGACATCTCTGACCCTCTTTGAGGAAACCACTTTTTTACTACCAGATGCAGTCTTTCTCCACAAATTGACACCAGTATTCCACTAACATGGTTTCCACAGCCGGCCAAATGATCTGGCTACCTAGCAAGCTGATTCCTTGAGGGCTGCCTTTCTCAAGTCCCTCAAATTCCGTGTGCTAGTGTTGCCGGGACTGGTTTTCAGGCAGCTTCAGCAGTGTCTGTGAGCTTCTTTAATGGGTTCAATGTGAAGAAACTAGTTAAGAGCATTATGACTGCCAGCCTTTGGCTGACGCAGGATTTACCCCAGCCTTTGTTAATCAGGGAAGTTTTGATGCAGTTGGTGGATTCCCCTGGTGCTACTGAGACACATATTAGTTTTATGCTATCTTCTTTGATCCAGTAGTCCCATCAGCTTTAGAAACAAAATCCTAGCTGACAAGTCTGAGATAAAATACGCCTACTTATGCCTTTGTAATACCCTTAATTCCTAGTTTTTCACCACTCTGCCCCCTACAACTAAGAGGGTTCCTGTGAATATTACATCACGTCTAGATGCTATGCACAGTGCACTAGTCATACAGATCTGAGCCCATCTCGCCACATCAGTAAATGGGAATGACAGCCATCATATTGCCACAGTGATTCTGGAAATTGCAGTGCTTCTAAATGGAGTGTCCAGCCAGACCTCACCGACTGCTATCCATCCTGGGTTCCTGGATTTATTCATTTCCAGCACATATTCAGAACTTTCCTCCAAAGTGTTTGAGGGGACAATTGTTCATTCTTCTACTTTGTTCAATAAAATGTATTTTATGCTTTTGTTTCATTTTATTTTTCTTTCATGCCCAGAGCAGTAGAACTGCCTGACTCAGGAACCCAGATAAGTCAGCAATACTTTAAATAACAGTTCACTAATTAATAGTGAAAAACACGGGAGGCCCCCTAGAACACTGACTTCGGCTGCATTAGCACCAAATGAGTTCCCCAGGATGCATATCATGCCAGAAGAATCAGTAAGCAATGGTGTCTACAGGGTAGGCTTTGAGAGCAACTCAAGTGCAGGGCAGGGATTTTCTCTTTGGGATTAAAAGTGTCACTGGCACTGCCTTGGAACATGACGTCAGAAATACTGAAACTCCCACAGCCTACATATTTTCTCAAAAGGGAGGTGGTTTTCTATTTTATGAGAAAAGCTGGTAAGAACACAGTAGAATGTAATTTAAGAGAGAAAAGTAAGGGCTGACTAAAAAGGGAAGATATATTCACCCCAGGGCATGGTGAAAGCAAAATGAATGGAGAGAGAGAAAAGGCCCAGGAAATGCAGCGAGGCCTGGAGTCAACGTCTCGTGGCATTTGGTCAAAGATCACCATCCCTCCTTCAGGCTATCATCTCCAAAAGGAGATTCCGAATTTTATGAGTACATTTTCTGCTTCTGTTTTGGCCAACATGATTAAAGGTGGTAAAGGAGTTCCACATATGATTATCTGACTGGATCCAAGGTAAGGAAGGGTCCAGGGTGAGTCATCCTGGTGGGCAAGGGTGGGGGCAGTTTCTGTAATTGAGCAAGCACCGGGTTGAGTCATCTAAAGTAGGGAGCGTCAGACGGGGCACGGGATGCAGTCCCAGAGGTCAGGGAAGGCCAGCGAGGGCTGCACTGGCAGAAGGAACCATCCAGTGAAAGATAGTCCCGCCCTCCCCATGCAGGACAGGGGAGGAGATACGACAGGGCTGGAGTAGGTACCTCGGGGCCACGGACTCTGACTCTGTCTACAAGAAGGCAGTAGCTTGTGTTGAGGGTCAAGAAGCCTGAGGGTGTTTGGAGACTTGTGTATTTATACAGGAAACTCAAGGACCATTCTATCAAGATGTCCTAACCAGGATTTACAAACGACTGGATTTCATTGCAAGGAAGAAGAAAGCAATTAGAAGCTTTATCGATGAATGTGGATTCCATGAATTTTGTTTCTAGATTAGAAGCTGTTTCTCTGCCCCACATACTGAGCTCCTGCCTTTCTTGTATTATTTTAGGACAAAAAAGGGCAAGATGTGCCTCTTCTAGATTGGGATTAAAAACAAAAAGCCTCAGTAAAACTCAGCTGATAAAGATCTGGATTCAGGTTCTTGGGTCTGAAGACTCAATGGAGCCACACTGCATGGCTTCCTATCCAGCCTCTGACACTTGCTGGCCATATGACCTTGGATGAACCAACTCACCTCTCTCAACATCATTTTAATCAGTTGTAAAATCAAGATAATAACAGTCCCTTCTTCCTAGAGTTCTTATGAAAATAAAATGAATGAACTCTTATAAAGTGCTTAGAATTGTACCTGGCACACAGTAAAACCTATGTAACTATTTGCCACGATTATTATCCCAGCTTTCCGCATTTGTACAGACAAGCTAATGCTGTCCACTGCTAGGTCACAAAAATAACAGGAGTGCACACACTCAACTCTGAGTCATGGCAGGTTGGAGCTTTACCCCTCACACTAATCAATCATGTTCAAGGCTATTGAGACACAAAGACAAGGAAGATACATAGCTGGAGGGGATGTGAGAAACTGAGTCACACTACTCATTTTACAGATGAGAAAACTAAAACTTAAACTTGCTATATCTCAAAGTTAATTTATTAATAGAACAAGAAATAGAATTTAGTAAAGTGAATTTCCCAGTGTCTGAAGGTGTAACTCACATATTAAAATCAGGTGCCTGCTAGGTCAATGCTACCATTATTTATTATCAGCCTGGTCTATTCTCCTTTCCAGTAGCGTGACAGAATGTGAAAATGTCTTGAACTCTGCAGATCACTATATAATTATGTCAGGGTGGGCTAAGAGTGGGGCACAACCATGATGCAAACCACGATATAGTAAAATCGGCACAGCCTGTCTTCCTTTAAGTGCTCTAATTCTTCTTCACCCATGTCAAGTGTAGAAGAGACCTCTTGCCTCATGAAACCCCACACCCAACCATCCTTTCTGAAGAGAAGAGAGCTTTACACTGGCAAACTTGACCCTGAACACTGGATTCTATCAATGGAAAAACATCTCTGCTGTTGAGAGCTTGGCCTGTGGTGTTGAATGAGGTTTGTGGATACTTAAAGAAGGGTTCTGGTGTTAGGCTGAGTAATCCAAATTATTTCTGTAAAGCTTTGTGGAAGGAGTAAAAATGATGGGTTACACATAGCTGCATTCAGAAACTGGAAGGGGAGGGGAAGATTTCTCAATGAAATGTTTTCTGAAGCAGCACTTAATAGATGCCACTGTCTACCAGTTTGATCTTAGCTACTAGATATTTGTGGGACTGCTCCCCATATCAAATTATGACTTCTACAAAGGTAGCTTTTATTTTAATCCCTAGCTCCTAGATATTTGTGGGACTGCTCACCATAATATCAAATGATGACATCTACAAAGGTAGCTTTTATTTTAATTGGTTGCAAGTTCCATTCCTTCTATCCCTTTACAACCAGATCTGGGCTAAGCAAAGATATTTAGCTACCAAATAGGTGTTTGATGGTTCTAATTATAAACTTGGAATCAACAAACCCAGTTTCTACTTCTCTTTCCTTCTTCCCCACCATTAAAAAGCTTTGGAATTTGAGCTAGATCACAGATTCTACTCTGCAGGGTTGTGGAAGATACTGTGTCATTATGTGCTAGGTCAATGCATAGGAATTTCTTTTACTTTAAAAAAATGCATAAAACTTTTGATCACTGGGGTATCTTTCTTTCTATTCTGGGCATAATATTAACATAAGATACTACATGGCAGAAACAGTTTCAGGAAATCCCAAGAGAACAGTGACCCCCAAGGCCTGGGTAGGCCACGGACAGGTGGAGGGAATACTAGGCTATTATTCTCTAACCTCCTCTCTCAACTTTCTTTCTGGGCACCCCTCATTCCAGGCTGGAGTTGATTCTGGGCATGCCTCTGCTGGAGCTCTCACTCTCCTGGTCTGGTTTGGAGTATGGCCTCACCTGTCTCACTCTCAATCTCAATTCAGTTCCTGCTTTCCACTCTGCTCTGTATTGCTGCCTCTCTCCCGGCCCCAATCTTGCCTCGTTTGATTCCAGTTCCTGAATCTACTCAGCTGCTAACGTGATCTTTCTAAATTTGGTCTTAACCTAACAACAAATACACAAACAAGTCCAAGCTCAGTATATATTACTCATACTATTCAAAAGTAAATAGGAACAATTAATACACGTAACAACTGATGAGTGTCAAGGATACTATGCTAAGTTAAAAAAAAAAGCCAATCTCAAAAGGTTTCATACAACATGATTCCATGTCTATAACATTCTTAAAATGAAAAAATTAAAGAGATAGAGAACAGATTAATCATTGCTAAGGATTAGGGTTGAGGACAAGGTATGGCTGTGAAGGATTAACATGAGGGAGTTTCTTTGTGATGATGGAATAGTCTGGACCCTGACTATAGTGGCGAGGTTATATAAATCTATACATGTGATAAAACTTCCTAGAACAACACCATTCCTCCACACACACAGAGAGAAACAACAGTGGATGTTAAAAAAGAAAAAAAAAAAAAGGTGAAATCCAAATAAGGGCTATATTTGAGTTAACAGTATTGTACCAATGTCAATTTCCTGATTTTGACAATGTACTAAGGTTATGTAAGATATTATCACTGGGGGAAGCTGGGTGAAGGGTAACAGGAATGCTGTATTACTGCTGCGACTTCTTATGAGTCTAAAATTGTTTCAAAAAAATACACACACATAAACACACAGACACAAACACAGTCAAGCCTTGCATACCTGTGATTTCTATATCTGTGGACTCAACCAACTGGAGATCAAAAATATATTTTTAAAAAAGGATTACTGCATTTGTACGCAATATGTACAGATATCTTTCTTGTCATTATTCCCCAAACAATACAGTATAACAACTATTTGCAAAGCGTTTACATTTTATTAGGTATTATAAGTAATCTAGAGATGATTTAAAGCATGCAGGAAGATATAGGTGGGTTACTTGCAAATACTATAATATTTTACATAAGGGACTTGAGTATCTGTAGATTTTGTTATCTGCAAAGGTCCTGGAACCAGTGCCCCAATCCCCCACAGATACTGAGGGATTACTATCTACATATGTGTGTGTACACACACACACACACACACACCCCGGTCCTGAGTCCCATCCCCAACAGTAGCACATAACAAGAAAGGACAAATGTGGCAAGCAGAGTCCAATGCACGGCATTCTTAGTGAAAACATTATATGGAATTTAGTGTGAAGTTGAAAAAGCCTTGGCATTAAGAAAACCAAAAGTCCAAAAACCAGCTTAGTCACATAATTTAACTTCAGCTGGCAGAACTCAAACTGTGGGTATATAAAATGGAGACAACAGAAGTTAAACGTGTCACATCACTCAATTCTAGCTGACATTTCCTTTGGCAATTTTTTTCTACCACATAGTTCTTATCCTATTGTGTAGATTGTAAATTTCCTTCTGACACAAATAGCGGTCCCTAACATATATGAGTGTTGCATGGAAAATGATCTTGAGACTATCTGGAAAAGGAACAACGTAATTCTCTAACAATTTATAAGCTTCTGAAAGGTATCAAAAAAGCCAGAGGTATCAAAATAACCTTTAATACTTCTAAATAAGATTATTTAAAAGAAACATGGCATCTTAAGAAAATTGTTCTCATATGACTTGAGTGCTTTAAGAACTTTAAGAAATGAGGTAGTTGATGTTTTTTGCTTGGACTCGACAACTGACTTAAAGCATAAACAATCCCTATCTTTGTCTGTTGAAGGAAGAGCATATATGGGTGAATACCTATCCTCCTAATTTTCAGAAGACAGTAGGGTAAAAGTATTTGTGGCATATCTACTGAGGACGGTAGGAGGCGTATATGCCAGCCAGGAAATTCCGACATCAGGGTCGCCCCTACTGTCCCTAACCCAAGCACTTAGGAGACATTTATCTTTGCATTTGCAGAGGTTCCTTCCATTTGCATGGAGCATGAGTTTACAGAAACTCAAAAAGAATACATCAAAGTTTCTCCTTCTGAGGACAGGGAGGAAAGTGTCAGGTTCAAGGGTGCAAAGAAGATGTTGGCCTTGGAGTAGAACATTTATCACAGGTCTTATTTGGTTTTCATTATGAAAATTCTTAAAATGTTTAATCTGTATGACAAAAAGAAAAAGACCTCAAAGAGGCAAAGGGGGTCTGTCAGTGAGGCTGGAACTGCAGGGCTAACGGAACACCAAGGTGGGGCTGGGGCAGGGTCAGGCCAATGCCACTAGTGAAGGACAGGGCCCCAGTACAGGGGGTTATAAACTAGCTGGTGTGACAATACTCTTCAGACCTCAAACCTGAACCTCTGGTTCACGGGAAAAATCATTAACAAGCAGAGATAATTTATGCAAGCTTAATGAGTAAATATTGATTAGAAGAGAGATTAGCTGGCTGTTATCCCCCATGTACACATTCATTTGTTCATTCAATCATTATTCCACAAACATTTGTTGAGTAATAACTGTGTACCAGGCTTTACAGTGTCAGGAACTGTGCCAAGCACTGGCGACCCAAGGATGAATCAACACAGCGCAAGCACAGAACAGGTCTAATTTGGTTTTCATTATGAAAATTCTTAAAATGTTTAATCTGTGTGAGAAAAAGAAAAAGATCTGAAGGTGAAGGGGATTTGCCAGTGAGGCTGGGACTGTAGGGCTAATGGAACACCAAGGCAGAGCTGGGGCAGGGTCAGGCCCAGGTTTTCTGGGGGCAGTGAATTTTGACACCTATTTGGAGGTGTCCAAGGCAGGCCTCTAAACTAGGTTCCTCTGACTCTGGTTCAGTGAAGTATTAATATGTGCTCCATTACATAAAGGGCTTCATCACAGCCCATTCATTTTGGAAATGTGTATTGATTGTCTCAAGTGAGCATATTAATAACTGAGAAGTCCTGCACTGAAGACATCTAGCATACGTTATTACCTTCCAAGATCCTGTTTGGAAAATCCCGCTCTAAGGACTACAAAGTGGAAAAAGAAGTGCAGGAGCATATCTGTAGTGAAAGAGAGGATCAAGTAAGTCATTTTTCATGTCCCATGAAACATTCCAGGGCCCAATTCGTGTAAGCCAGAAATGTCACTGCCACCGAATTATCTGAAAGGATTTTGTGTGAATGGATGTAGTATTTTTACTAACTTTCTTCTGCCTAAAATACGTAGAGACAGTTCATCTTTCACAGGAGTTCAGCATCACAGACGCTGGAGCTGATAAGACTGTTAGGAAGCATCTGGTACAATTCTTCTACTCAACAGATGAGTCTGGATGAAGCTAATCAGTAACCCAACTCTTAAGAAACCTGGGCTCCCGATTCTCAGCCCAAAGCCATGATGAATAAGTACCTGTCTTCTGTATGCTCCACACAGCACTTCAGTGTGCTGTGGGTGTCATAACAATTACTGTCACTAAATTAAGTTATAATATTTGTAACATCACAACATAAAGATCAGAACAATAACAAAACATTCTGCCATTTCTTTGGAAGCATTCATTGAACATTTCAGGGGGAAAAAAGTATACTAGGGCTAAAGAGTTAACATTGCTTCAGCCTCAAGAATATCATTATCTGACAGGATCCCCTCCCATCACTATGTCACTGAGATTTTTAAAAATATACCTTTGGTGTTGCTATAATCTTATTAACCTACTGGCTCATAGAGCTTATTACTCTGAAAATAGCTTTTTTTTTTTTTCTTCTAAGCCAAACTTATCCAAGAGCATCAGTCTAAAGACTATAAATAGCCCAAGTATAATGATCAGTGACATGAAAATGTAGGTTAAAGCTAATAGAACTGAGTAACAGGTTTAATTTCAAACTGGAGAACTAGGTGATAAGATCCCACCACTTTATTGTTTCTGTCCTGGATTTTATATAATCATTAAAATAGCACTGTTCACAAGGAATGTATACAGTTATACTTGGCCTAACTTTATAAAACAAGCAGTCAATTTCCCAAGCAGCCTTACAATTCTACTCTCTCTTTTAAAAAACATTTTTATTGAGATGTAATTCATGTACAATCTAATTCATCTATTTAAAGGGTAAAATTCAGGGGTTTTTAGTATATTCACAGATATATGCAAGTGCTACAACAATCCATTTTGGAAAACATTTATCAACTCAAAATAAATCTTGTACCTAGGCTGAGTGTGGTGGCTTACACCTGTAATCCTATCATTTTGGGAAGCTGAAGCAGATGGAGCGCTAAAGTCCAGCAATTTAGGACCAGCCTGGGAAACTTGATGAAACCCCATCTCTACCAAAAAAAAAAAAGAAAAAAAAAATTAGCTGGGCATGGTGGCATATGTCTGTAGCCCCAGCTACATTTCACTCCAGCCTGTGCAACAGAGGGAGAAGAAAAAAGAAACCCTGTATCTTGTAACTGCCACCCACCCCCACCCCACCCCATCCTCTCATCTCCCTAATCCCTAAGCAACAAATAATCTACTTTCTGTCTCTATTGCTTTATGTATCCTGGACATTTCGTATAAATGGAATGATATAGTATGTGGTCTTTTGTGGCCAGCTTCCTTCCCCTAGCATAACATTTTCAAGGTTCATCTAAGTTGTAGCATGTATCTGTACTTCATTCCTTTCTATGGCCAAGTAATATCCCACTGTGTACGTATTCCAAATTTTATTTATCTATTCATTAGTTTATGGACATTCAGGTTGTTTTCACCTTTTAGTTCCTATGAATAACATTGCTATAAACATTTTTGTTTTTCTATGGCTTTTCTTTTCATTATTCTTGGGTATGCACCTAAAAAGTGGAATTGCTGGGTCATATGATAACTCTGTGATTACCTGTGAGAAACTGCCAGACTTTTTCCAAAGTGGTCATTTTGGAATTTTACATTCCCACCAGCAGTGTGTGAGTGTTTCAATTTCTCCAAATCCTTGTCAACACTTATAATTATCTGACTTCATGATCCTAGGGGTCATAAAGGGGTATCTTATCTGGTTTCAATTTGCATTTCTTGATGATTAATGATGTCAAGAATCTTCTCATGTGCTTATTGGCCATTTGAAAATATTTCTTAGAGAAATGTCTATTCAAGTTCTTTGCCATTTTAAGTGCGTTGTCTTTTTATTAAATTGTAAGAGCTCTTTATATATTCTGGATATAATTCTTTTATCAGATATATAATTTAGAAATACTTTCTCCCATTCTGTGGGCTTTTTCAGTTTCTTGATAATGTACTCTGAAGCACAAAAAGTTTCAGTTTTGTTGAAGCCCAATTTATTTATACTTTTCTTTACTCACTGAATTTTGGTGTCATATCTAAGATTCATTTGCCGATACTAGTTGTCCTGCATTGGAAAGTCTTGATATTCCTCTTGAAAATCAGTTAACCATAGAGGTTTCTTTCTGGATTCTCAATTCCATTTCACAGATCTGTATGTCTAACTTTGTGCCAGTACCACACAATCTTTATTACTGTTACTTGGTAGTAAGTTTTAGAATTGAGAAGTGTTAAGTGCCTCCTAGTTTGTCCTTCTTTTTTGAGATTGTTTGGCTATTTGGGGTCCCTTTAAATTCCATATGTTTCGATATCCCATGTTAGTTTTGAAATTCTATAATAGCCTATACATTTCTCTAAAGAATCCATCTGGGATTTTGATAGTGATTGCATTAAATCTATAGTTTAAGTTGGGAAGTATTTCCAACTTAGCCTTGTCTTTCAATACATGAATGTCCTTCCATTTATTTAGGTCTTAAAATTTCTTTCAGCAATGTTTTTTTTTTAAATTTTCAAAGTATAAGTTTTATTCTTATTTATTAAAATTATTCCTAAGTATTTTATTTTTTAATATTATTATAAATGGAATTATTTCCTTAATATCATTTTCAGATTGTTCAAAGCTAGTATATATACAATTAATTTTAGTAATTAATTTTGTATCTTGTAGCCTTGCTATTATGGTATGGATTGTGTTCCCCCCAAAAAGATACATTGCAGTTCTAACTCCTACTACCTCAGAATGTGACCTTGTAAGTAGGGTCATTGCAGATGCATTTAGTTAAGGTGAGGTCATACTAGAGCAGGGTGGGCCCTTAATCTAATATGACTGGTGCAATTACAAGAAGAGAACAGAGACATGAAGGACAAAGACAGTCAAATGATGATGAAGGCAGAACCTGGAGTGATGCTACAAACCAGAAAAGGAAAACAAATACCAGACACTAGAAAAGGAAAGGAAGGATTCTACTCAAAGTCTCAAAGGGACTCCCAACACCTTGATTTTGGATTCTAGCCCTGTAACTGTAAAAAAATAGATTTCTGTTGCATTAAGCTACTTAGTTCATGGTACCTTGCTATGGCAACCCCAGGAATCTAATGTACTTGCTGGACTTGTTTACTAGTTTTAATGGTTTTTTAGTGGAGTCCTTGGGATTTTCCATATAAAACATTATGTCATTTGCAAATAGAGTTACTTTCCCTTAGAATGTCTTTATTTCTTTTTCTCTCTTAATTGCCCTTGTTAGACCCTCCAGTAAAATGTTGACTAGAAATGGAAAGAGTGGGCATCTTTGTCTTGTTCCTAATCTTAGAGGAATAGTGTCCACTCTCTTCCAATCAAGTATGATATTACCTGTGAGTTTCTTGTAGATGTCTTACCAGACTGGGCAATTTTCCTATTACTAGTTTTTTGAATGTTTTTACCATGAAAAGGTGTTGAATTTATCAAATGATTTTTCCTCTGTATTGAGATGATCATGAGGTTTTTTTTATTCTATTGATATGACATACTACATTAACTGATTTTTGGATGTTACATCAACAGTGCATTCTTGAGATAAATCCCACCCTACTGTATAATCCTTTTCATACGTTTCTGGATTCAGCTTGCTAGTATTTTGTTAGAACATTTTTCCACGCATAATAAAAAAATATTGGTTTGTAATTTTCCTTCCGTGTGATGTTTTTCACCACTTTTGGTATTAGGGTAATATGATGTTTTTCACCACTTTTGGTATTAGGGTAATACCGGCCTCAAAGAAGGAGATAGAAAGTGTCCCTTCATCTTTTATCTTTTGAAGAATTTGTAAAGAATTGGTATTAATTATTCGCAGTGTTCTGTGAATGTCTCCTAGGTATTGTTGGTTTTTAGTGTCGTTCATGCCTTCTATCTTCTTATTTTTTTCTGCCTAGTTGTTATATCCTTCTGGAAAACTGGGTATTAAAGTCTTCAGCTACCATTGTTGAGCCATCTATTTCTTCCTTCATTTTTGTCAGTTTTTACTTCACACATTTTGGCACACTCTTGTTTACTGAAAATATGTTTATAATTGTTATATTGTCCTAATAGATTGTCTTTTTCATCATTATAAAATGTCCCTCTTTACATTTGGTAACTTCTTTTTAACCTCTATTTTGTCTGATATTAACATAGCCACCCTGGCTGTCTTATAAGGTTGCTGTTTACATGGTATATCTTTTCCTTTCTTTTTACTTTCAGTCTATCTGTATCTTTGAATATGAACTGTGGCTCTGTAGACAGTATACTTAGTTCAGTCTTGCTTTTTGTTTTTAACTAAAGGTTGTTTAATAATCTCTGCCTTTTGGGTAGACTGTTTAATTCAAAAGTATTTAATGTTATTATTGATATAGTAAATTTACATCTACCATTCTACTTTTTGTTTTCTATACCTCTCATGTCTTCTATTCCACCTTTATTGCTTTCTTCTGCATTAAGTGAATATTTTCTAATACAGCATTTAAATTTCTTTAAGGATTTTTTTACTACTTAAAAAAATATTTCCTTAGCGGTTGCTCTAGGCCTTATCAGATACATCTTATCAGAATCAGCTTCAGATTCACACCAATTTTATTCCAGTGGGATATAAAAATGTTACTCCTAGATAGCTCTATTCACTTTTCTCCACTTTTGTGATGTAACTATACTATTACATTTAAAATGTTATAAGCCCAATAGTACATTCTTATTAATATTACATTATATAATTTTATGTCTTTTAAGGAAGCTAACAGAGGAGAACAAATATAAATATATTCATATCTTTTGTTATGTTAACTTTATTTATCATTTGTGAATCTCTTCATTTGTTTTTGTGAATTCGAGTTACCACTAGAGTCAATTTTTTAGCCCAGTATAATATTGCCTTCACCTACCTCCTTTGTGCTGTTATTAGCAAATGTGTTACATTTCTATAAGTAAAAAAGGCTCAACAATAATATATATGGGTATGTGTGTCTATTTGTGTATAGTTTAATGCAATTGCTTTTAAAATCAGTTTAAAAAAACGGAGATGATATATGCATTTATACTGTCTTTTACACATATATATGCTCATTGTTATTTTC